TAGTTCGTTCAACGCATTTCGACTAAAATAGTGGCCGGAACCAAGAACAGTTCGTTATATCCGTATGTTAGTTATGAGAGTGTTCGTTATAACCGTAGTTCGTTCAACGCATTTCGACTAAAATAGTGGCCAGAACCAAGAACAGTTCGTTATATCCGTAAGTTAGTTATGAGAGTGTTCGTTATAACCGTAGTTCGTTCAACTCATTTCGACTAAAATAGTGGCTAGCACCAAGAACAACTCGTTACATCCTTCAAGTTAGTTATGACAGTGTTCGTTATAACCGTAGTTTGTTCAACGCATTTCGACTAAAATAGTGGCTAGCACCAAGAACAGTTCGTCATATCCGTATGGTAGTTATGAGAGTGTTCGTTATAACCGTAGTTCGTTCAACGCATTTCGACTAAAATAGTGGCTAGCACCAAGAACAGTTCGTCATATCCGTATGGTAGTTATGACATTGTTCGATATAACCGTAGTTCGTTCAACGCATTTCGACTAAAATAGTGGCCAGAACAAAGAACAGTTTGTTATATCCGTAAGTTAGTTATGACATTGTTCGATATAACCGTAGTTCGTTCAACGCATTTCGACTAAAATAGTGTCCAGAACCAAGAACAGTTCGTTATATCCGTAAGTTAGTTATGACATTGTTCGATATAACCGTAGTTCGTTCAACGCATTTCGACTAAAATAGTGGCCAGAACCAAGAACAGTTTGTTATATCCGTGAGTTAGTTATGTCAGTGTTCGATATAACCGTAGTTCGTTCAACGCATTTCGACTAAAATAGTGGCCAGAACCAAGAACAGTTCGTTATATCCGTAGGTTAATTATGAGAGTGTTCGTTATAACCGTAGTTCGTTCAACGCATTTCGACTAAAATAGTGGCCAGAACCAAGAACAGTTCGTTATATCCGTATGTTAGTTATGAGAGTGTTCGTTATAACCGTAGTTCGTTCAACGCATTTCGACTAAAATAGTGGCCAGAACGTAAAGAACAGTTCGTTATATCCGTAGGTTAGTTATGAGAGTGTTCGTTATAACCGTAGTTCGTTCAACGCATTTCGACTAAAATAGTGGCCAGAACCAAGAACAGTTCGTTATATCCGTAAGTTAGTTATGACATTGTTCGATATAACCGTAGTTCGTTCAACGCATTTCGACTAAAATAGTGTCCAGAACCAAGAACAGTTCGTTATATCCGTAAGTTAGTTATGACATTGTTCGATATAACCGTAGTTCGTTCAACGCATTTCGACTAAAATAGTGGCCAGAACCAAGAACAGTTCGTTATATCCGTAAGTTAGTTATGACATTGTTCGATATAACCGTAGTTCGTTCAACGCATTTCGACTAAAATAGTGGCCAGAACCAAGAACAGTTCGTTATATCCGTAAGTTAGTTATGTCAGTGTTCGATATAACCGTAGTTCGTTCAACGCATTTCGACTAAAATAGTGGCCAGAACCAAGAACAGTTTGTTATATCCGTAGGTTAGTTATGAGAGTGTTCGTTATAACCGTAGTTCGTTCAACGCATTTCGACTAAAATAGTGGCCAGAACCAAGAACAGTTCGTTATATCCGTAGGTTAATTATGAGAGTGTTCGTTATAACCGTAGTTCGTTCAACGCATTTCGACTAAAATAGTGGCCAGAACCAAGAACAGTTCGTTATATCCGTAGGTTAGTTATGAGAGTGTTCGTTATAACCGTAGTTCGTTCAACGCATTTCGACTAAAATAGTGGCCAGAACCAAGAACAGTTCGTTATATCCGTAAGTTAGTTATGACAGAGTTTGTCATAAACGTAGTTTACTGTATAATAATAATAAACGAGATTGGTTTGTACATATTTATGTAAGAAGATTGTATGCACCAACACCTGACAACATGAATATTAGCTGATTGGTCGTACATCAAAATATGAAATATGAGTCGCGGACAGTCCTCGGATGGGTGACCGTGTTTGGCAGCTTGACTCCTGAAAGTTTCTAGGGACTTCAGTCCTGCCCCACAACGAAGCGCATGTGACGCATGTGGTCTCACCTTAGGCAAGTGAGTTTGTTCAAAATTGCCTCTGTGCACCCAGCAGTAAAATTGGGTACCTGGTATGATGCGATGGTAGTCTGAATTTGAACCTTGAGCGCCTGACAGGCGACCGGTTGTATTCTCCACATGGAGTGTTCTGTACTCGTTGACCAGGGGTAATATGTCAGCGCTTTGAGCATGCAGCATGCAATGTGCATGGATAAACGCGCAATATAAATGGACTATTATTATTATTATTATTATCTGATAGCATAAATTTAGGGGATGAGGAAAACAATACTGCATTAAAGCGAAATCCAAACACACATCCATGTACACAATCAGGGCTGTTAGCTTAGGGTCGTAGTTTCCTCAACTATAATCTGATAACATACACGGAAGCAATGGGAAAATAATCTCGGATTGGGATCAATAGTGAATGCAAATGTACACACCAACTCTCGTTCACACTAATAGTGAGTGAGTATGTTTTAGCAATATTCTAGCAACATCGCGGCGGGGGACACCAGAAATGGGCTTCACACATTGTACCCATGTGGGGAATCGAGCTTTTTTCAGCGTGAGGAGCGAACGCTTTAACCACTAGGCTACCCAACCACCCCACACACTAACAGTGCAGTACAAAAATATAGGATGAATTATATGCTGTCTTACACACTACACAACATACACATGTGTTACCATATACTACCCATCAAACGTTTAGACTCAGCAGTGTAAACGTAACCGCATACTTCAGTCAACTGTTCTGAACTATACTTGGCACATAAAGAAACTGTGCATACAAAAATTTAAAATCTAAATTTATCAAACCTGTGTAGACACATAAGGATTTAAACTCAGAGATAAGTGACATGTATCCAACATGCATGCACGTGTCACGTTTCGTGACGTCAGTGGGTTCGTCCTTGAGACGTGCAATACGTTGTTGCACGTGCATTCCGGGAAACAGAGCAAATGAATGCCACACAATACTGTCACTTTGGAAAGCTCAACCCCTGCCCTTGCGATCGTTCGAAAAATTAAACGGCTATTGAAACGCATAGCATGCCAAGGCTCACGTCTGCACAACGTCATGAGGCCATTGGGATGGTCCGTGGGGGAATGTCTCAACGACAAGTGGCTGCACATTTCCACTGCCACCGGAACACCATTTCTGCAGTGGTGGGACGCTACCAGAACACAAATGACGTCATCGATCGGCGACATTCTGGACGTCCACTTGTAACAACGCAAAGACAGGACAGATGGATAAGGGTGACCTATCTTCGCCGGTTTCAGACTGCAGTGATGACTGCCCGAACCATCCCAGGTCTTCGCCGTATCCACCCCAACACAGTTCAACAATGTTTACGTCATCACGGGATCAGACCACGACGTCCCGCCATACGGCCTATCCTGACACAAAGTCATCGACAAGCTCGCCGAATGTGGTGCCGAAATTATGCCCGCAGACCCTTGTTTTGGTGGAGAAAGATTGTTTTTACAGATGAGTCCAGGTTTAACATTTCCCATAGTGATGGACGTCAACGTGCCTATAGACGCGTCGGAGAACGTTTTGCACAGGCCTGTGTCTTGGAGAGGAAACCCTTTGGTGGTGGTTCCGTGATGATTTGGGGTGGAATAACAGCACGCCAAAGAACTCCTTTGGTGATTGTTCAGGGCAACTTAACTGGTGTGGGCTACAGGGATCAGATTCTTCGACCTGTGGCAATTCCTTTTCTGCAACGTCATGGCCCTGGGTTAACATTCCAACAGGACAATGCCCGCCCTCATACCGCAAGGGTTGCTATGGATTTCTTGCAACACCACAACGTTGACTTACTGCGTTAGCCTGCAAATTCACCGGATCTCTCCCCGATAGAGCATGTTTGGGACGAGATGGATCGACGTCTACGCCGTCTTCCTCATCCGCCAGATAACGTCCTTGACCTTGCAACAGAACTTGAGAGAATCTGGCGTGACATCCCACAAGCCTTCCTTGCACGTTTGATAGGCTCTATGTGTCGTCGATGCCCTGCTGTTCTCAATGCCGATGGTGGACATACCCGTTATTGAGCTTGTGACATGGTCGTTTGACCCCTGTCCCGCTTGTGGACTCGTGACGTCATTGTGATTGACTTTTCAGTTGAAATTCTCCCGACTTGTTATGGTCTCATGATCCCTCCATTAAAGTTTATATGTACCTTTGACATTGTTATCGTACTTATCAACTGGGATAATATTTTGACAATGCACAGTTTCTTTATGTGGCTAGTATAGATTTTGCAAAATATTTCATACTGTTTAAAGGTACTGTTTATACACAAACTGATGTAATGTAAAACAAATTTGTAACGTTAAAAAGATTATTATCATGAGTTTAGTAAATGATGAAACTCATTGAAAATTGTCGAATTCTTAACAAAACTTTTACATCAAAACGCAACTGTTCACATGCACGATATTTGCACATGCTTTTCATCAATATGATGCATGATCCTCGTATAATTCATCTGCATAAGGTTTGCAGTTGGTTCCCCCAAGTTAGAGGAGAGATTCATCTTCGATATAACCATATATACATACATAACATAGTGAGTGCTTTAAGTGAGTCTAAACTTTTGATGAGTAGTATATATGACGTATCTGATGTTGCACACAAAGCAGGCAAATAACCTGGCTTAACCATGCATCTCGAGGCGTATAGTCAGAACTGACAGAACATGTGAAGTGGATGTCGGGGAACAAATAAAGCGCATTTGAGCGAATAGAAGTAACTGTACGATACATAAATGTATAACAATACTCCTAACTATTACCAACAAGATAAATACATTGCATAACGAAAGCACTATAGCCTATTGTTCTACAGTCCACGTACGTAATCTAGATGTCTGGCATCATATCGAAAGAATTTATTCTTTGAACATGGCATTACATTTACCTAACCATCAAACTTACATGACATTAATCGATATAATATACAGAAACTTATCTCCATAATAATATACAGCTAAATATAAGATAATAAGCAACAACATTCGTTCATAACTATTCTCTTAAAATATAGGTCTTCAAGATTTTGTTTGTTGGCAGCACCAAGCCATATTCCAGCTTAAGGCAGCATATGACGCTTGATTGATAACGGTGTTAGTACCTACACCGAAACGTTGCACTCATTGCAATAAAGAAGTAGACTTTCCACAGATCTTGTTTTTTCTTCATCTATGCACCTTCTAACATGCCTCTCAAGGAAGATATATCGCAGCAGTCTGTAAATAAACCCAAGTTGGATACCATGCGAGCGAGTTAGCGAGTCTGATGACCCATTCATTCGCACCCTGCGTCAAGCATGGGCTGCTGACGACCTATTGTAACCCGGATCTTCAGAGGTAGGTCTTAGAAGTAATCACCGTCGTCCTAGTTCGCAATGGCTTCATTCAGAGCTGTCCAGAATGTGGCCTGATCCTCGGGGTTTTCTGGACACTCTGTGTACGAGTCGGTTTTCATCATGTACAAGAGCTCACGAGGAACACATTGTGCATCCACCTCCCCAATCTTTACAATAAGAATAACGCTCCGAGCTTCATAAACACCTTCCATTTTCGCCATCTCAAACTCATATCGACACCATTCGCTTGACAGGAAATTTGGAGAAAGAATGATGAGTGTTCGTCTGCTCGTCTGCACAGCTTTCACGATGTTCGAAGTGATTGGTTCTCCGGGTTTGAAGTCTCTGTGGTGAATGCACAGCCGCCTTCCCTGTCCTTCAAGCTCACTAACCAACTTGTCCACAAAGTCAAAGTCTTCATCAGAAGAAGACACAAAGGCATCGAAAACAAACTCATGTTCCTCTCTCTCGCTAGCTCTGACGGGACGGTAACGATCTCTAGCAACATAGTAGAGATACCTGAGCCTCCATCTATACCTGTACAACAGGGCCAGCACAGACAATGACAGAGTAAACGTTATGCCAACAAGGCAACTCGTTATAATTCCGAAAAGTGGCTTACATTGCTTTTGTAAGGCATCTACAAATTCTTCGGTCAAGTCAATTTTGTATTCATATAATGATTACACGTATAATTACTCACATTTCTGAAATGTTTTCTATTTTTAAAGAGCCAAGAGAGGAAAGCCACATTGTCACAGATACATGAGAGTGGGTTCTGCAAAATATCTACAGTAAGATTGTTTGAAAGGGTTTCCAAAGATTCACGAAAGTTTACTTCAAGTGTCAAGATTTGATTCTGGCTTAAATCCAGATACTTTAAGCTTTTCAAATGTCTAATATCAGGATCCCAGCAAGTGAGTTCATTGTTGCTGAGATCTAAATAAGTTAGTTTTGTGTTGAATTCAAATATGCTTCGATGAAGACGACGGATTCTACTTGCCGAAAGGTCAAGGATTTCTATCTTTGTCAAGCTTTGGAAGATGGTCCCACTATCATTTCTGAGTTTACGTAGTGCATCACCTATCAAATTATTTGAAATGTTCAAAAACGTTAAATTTGGAAATGCAGAAAAGAAGCTTTTTTTAATATAAGAACAGAAGGCGTTTGACAAATCTGCTCGTTTTAGAGATTCTAAACCTTTAATAGGACCTATCCATTTTGTCATAACGTTATTGGAAGCATCCAAGAATGTTATCTTGGGTAGGTTGATGTGCATGTCTGGAATAACTGACTTCATTTCGTAGTTTCTGACAGTGACGTTTTCAAGATCAGGAGGACCATGAAACATCTGTTCCAAGTGTCGCTTCATCCGTAGGTGGTTTGGGAACTCCCAAAAGAAATTATGAGTAATGCTCATATCACTCATATCAAGACTCTTCAACCCTTTTGCTTTACGAACATTATACACATAAGCACCGACCGTGAAACGATTGTCTACAATAGATAGTAGCTCTAGTGATGAAGGGTAGAAGTCAAATACACCTTCTTCCAGTGCCTCTATGAAGTTATGTCCAATATAAAGCCTTTGAATACACGTATGTTTCAAATACATGAACGTTGTGTTTTTTGCAACCACGCCAATCGTGAAGGGCAAAACAATTTTGTTCATCTTCAAAACTTTAATTTTAGTTCCAATCATCCCATAAGTAGACATGGTTCCGTTTGAAAGACCCAAGCCAGTGTTTCCAGACACATCTATGGTATGAATGTTCTTCAGAGGAGAAAACGCCTTATTGTGGATGTCGTAAATATGACAACTTGATAGATTCAGTAATCGAAGATTCGGTGTTGTGGCAAACATGTGTTCTTGTATATACAGCAGGTTACAGCGACCCGTGAATATTAGTTTTGTCAGATTAGCCAGCTTTTTGAAGCCTTTTCCCATCCGGGGTTTAGGTATACCGTCAATGTACAGCTCTTCCAACGACGTGGCGTGACTGAGCGGTTTGTCAGGATAGGTATAGGTTAATGTCGTGTTTAAGGCTGAATCACAGTTGCCGCAGAGTCTGAGAATACGTAACTGCACCAGACCAGAAAACGCACAAGGACTGTAAACATCGGAAGAGAGACTTAGATAGTTGCTGTTCAAATCCAGTTCAGTTAAAGAAGCGTAGTTTTTGAAACTATTGCATTTAATTTCCTCCAGTGAATTATTCCTCAGACTAAGATATATTATATCAGTGGGCAAACGTTGAGGAACCGCCTTGAGACTCCTGCTGGAGCAGTCAGCATGCCGTTGTTTACAGATGCATGGCTTGCAGTCGGTCGATTGTTGGGTTGCCATCTGATGGCTCAGGAACACTGACACCATGTTCAGAGCAAGGAAGCGGAACAGTTTCATTGTGGGGCTGAAAGAAAGCAAGCAGAGAACTTAGAGAAGAAATATAAGTTGTCTACCTTTCGTGCGCGTGCACATTTTAGGGCATTTTCTAAACATTCGAATCTAACAATTCAATCATGTGATTGACATTAGGAGTATCAATCAATTGGGAGACGATGACATGCATCCGGATCAGCGACCCCGACCGCCAGATCCCGTTATTTGCCTTTTGTAGCAAGCATGGGTAGCTGAAGATCAGTTCCAACCTGAATCTTCTTGGTGTAAATACTTTACCTTAGGGGGGACTACATTTCTTTTTTCAAGACCCGGGTTCGATTCCCCACATGGGTACAATGTGTGAAGTGTACCCCACCGTGATATTGCTGGAATATTGCTAAAAGCGGCGTAAAACTATACTCACTCACTCACGACACTGAACCTGTTACAGACCGACAATTTTTGTCTGTAAAAAACTGTTCTCGTTGCTTTCTAATGCTTGAAGTTTGTCAATAACACCACAGTTCATCACACTGTACAGGACGCGTTCAGAGCTTACGAGGTACGGTGGATAATGGAAATCAACTTCACTGATGTCTCATTGAAGTGTCAAAATAACAACTGACCCCATGCCCACATGTACGGAGGAATAGCATGATCATCGTATAAGTATGCAGATATGCATGTATACACACACACACACGCACGCAAATACACATAAATCCCAAATATAGATTTGTATTAGTTTGTCTTTGTTTAACCTGGCATTGCTTATACATATATACTCAAATAGTGTAATTTTGCAGTCGTTTTAGTGACACACTAAGTCAACCTGTCTTACAATGCTTTGATTTTGTTATACAAAATTAAATGAAATTGAATATGTTCAAGGAAACATTCATGTATGGAATCCGCAGTTACGTACATGCAGCCGTTACACTATTCTAGAAATAGGACCCACCTGATGTATGTTGCTTGTCTCCGTCCAATTCATGTGCTGAGCATAGTGAACGAAAGCTGTCGGCATTTGTGCTTGAACTCAATGTCAGAATCTTCAATATCTCTGTTCGAGGAAATTATTTATCACGACGCCAACTGTAGACATTTTCCAAATGCATGCATGCTAGGAAGTAAAGGTATCGTCCGAGACCCATGCGACCAATGTATGAAATGTACGTATCATGTGGCCTTCAAATGTGGCATTTAATTCGCAGGTCACGAAATGAAAGATCATTTAAGTGACTGTAAACAAATATGACTTAGGTGTGATGACTTAGCCAACGTTTTGAGATATTTTATATTATATATTATATAAAGTTATTTTTATGCATTTTGTTTTTCATATGAAATAATTGTAAATGTTGTTCATTGGCGAGACAGGTTTAAATAACTGCATTATATTGCCATCGCTGGTTCGTTAGTGTGTAGCAATCACGTAAGTGACGTAATATAGTTTGTAGCAATGGATTAATATCTTATTAAAAGTTTACCCGTTTAGACTGAGTATTTGTTAACCCTGTCTTCATAAATGCAGAGGCATTTAATACGATGTGAAATTTAAAATACGCGTCCAGTAGTCAGGGTCTATGGGGTTCTGACCCACTGATAAGGAGGTTGGGGTAAGCAAGAAACAAGGTTATACGTCTTATCTCCTACATACGGATCTTATCTTAATGAACCTAAACAAAAGCATTGTTCCTGTTAGAAAATCACCAGCTGTGATCTGCACGACAAAGTCTAACTAATTCAGATATGAATCTACATGACTGCCTCTGGCTTTGAATGTGTATCCTACTTGCCATTATTCTGGCGCTCAACAAACATAGATGAATAGACATACTGATGCCGATTTAAATTGCGCTCCGACAAAAATTTGTATTTTGTATATGTTACACGACAATTAATGTGTTCGGAAGGTAAGGACATCGCAAAAACTGCAAATTGTTTTCTTTATTGAAGAAATATGCCACACCCATATCCTTTATGGATCAGTTTATTAATCATGGTTGAATTTATATCATGTTTGCACTGTAAACTGATCAACATGTATTTATTTCATTAATGAATTACTATACCGCGGGTGAGCAGGTACGTGCGTGTGCACGTCCATGCACAGCGTATGTGGGATGTGCAAGTGTGATAACTTGTTCGTCTTTATAGTATCCAATAATCAATCTTGTAGTGTATACAGGGGGAGAAGTTTGGATATCTCTGGAAGATGTTCATGTATTGATACGTCTCAAGATAATCTATGCATTCGCTTATAATAAGCAAACTACAGTGGTAAATCATCACTCGTTTAGCTGTGAGTTAACAGCTTACAAATAGAAGTTAAACTACCCAAGAGTAGTACAACACTGTACACATGTGGCTTTTTCAGATTGCAAATACAAACATTTCAGATCTTTGTTAATGACTGAATGCAGGAGTTATGTATTCAAGAACTCTACAGCAGCGAATAAAGCACAGATGTAAACTATCTCTCGCTTACTGTAATTTAGACGCCAATTGGAGATAATATTTTGTTCTTGACTGGAAGAGAGTAATAGTATACAGAATATCCAAAAATATTATCAAAACCCGATGTGGATAAAGATGTGAACGTTTAATGTTCCAAAGTCCATCCAGAGAACTTTTCTCAAGCTCTCCTACTCACGTTTGTCTAAAAAAATGGCAACCGCTTGAAGGGGCGTGATCAAGCTGGTGACCTAATGGAAACGTGTAAGTTTACATTAAGGAAAAGGTATCAACAAGTATGGATGTGAAATGAAGTAAACCTTATATTTCACACACATGACTGATCAAATATGTGCCCTTGATATGTAAAATAACGTTCTCAGGTATGAAAGCATTTGAAAACTTACAGAAAATGTTTGAAAGCATCTATGACAATTAAAAGATATGTATATCAACTATTCAATTCATGAATGCTTGGAAATGTCTGCAAATCCCGTCATAGCATGACAAAGATGTTTGTGCAAGCGGCATTTACGATAAGGACATGCTTCAAAGGTGTACCTTCATATGAAATACAGTGAAGCCTCTTTAATCCGGACGGTTGCGTTTCTCAGCAAATTCGTCCGTAAATGCTAAACGTTGGTACCAAAAAAAAATGCCGCAAATCCGGTCATAGTATACATTTCCTTCTGTACTTGTATATGTTTCAATGGTGTAAAATACGTTTTTTTCACGTGTTTCTTATCTAGGAGGAAACTGGCAACATGTGGGATAAGACTGACTTAATAATGATAATGATATTAATAATGACGTAAGAGGAAGAAGTAGCTGTAAGCTGACGAGCAGGAGAGACGTTATGAAACTTTAGACAGTCCAAATCTGAGATAAATGAAACATAATATAGAACTATAGTGTGAATACACTAAACGCCAAAAGAAACGTTACCCTCCTTCCTTAATGACAGAGGCACCTTTCTTTAGCTGGCGTTGTCATGGTTGTGATACGTGGACGTCCACTTCTTGGTCTGTCTATGGTGACCCCAGTCTGTCTGTAGCGCTGAATAAATCTTATAACCGTGTTACGGTGGCATCCGAGGGCGTTGGCAACAGCATTGTACGTCGACCCCATCTCAATGGCTCTTTCTGTCTCTTAAGCTGCTAATCGTGGCATATTTCTCGTACTTGTGTATCATATCATGCATTCTGTATTCTCTTTATACCTTATAGAATCTTTCTACACGTGAAATGGATGCAAATACTTCTTGACTGACTGACTGACTGAGTTTAGTTTTACGCCGCTTTTAGCAATATTCCAGCAATATCACGGCGGGGGACACCAGAAATGGGCTTAACACATTGTGCCCATGTGGGGAATTGAACCCGGGTCTTCGGCGTGACGAGCCAACGCTTTAACCACTAGGCTACCCCACCGCCCAAATACTTCTTGAATATTGCTACGTTTTGGCGATCGATATTGCTATGTGTAAACAGAAAATGAAAAATAAGATAATTTTAGATGTTCCTAAACACTTTTTGACAATATCAAAGACACGTTTTACTTGTTTTAACTAATGCAAATCAGCAGAAAATGTTTTACAAGACTGAAATCATAGGAATGATTCTTTTACAATTTTACACAATTTTTAATAGTTGGAAATGGTGACTGTAAATGTTTTATCTTTGTCTCAATTTTACTTCAACCTTTTTTTTTGGACATCTAAATCACTGTTATTGGTTTATTTCAGCATGGTCGAAAATAGGACAATGTAACTCTTCTCAAAAAGATGCATTCACCTAAATATGAATGCTTTTGAGAATTTCTTTTCGTGATTTGCATAAAAGTGTGTGGTTAAAGGTCACATGCAACGTAGAACACAACTTTGCAGATTCTGATACCTTTCGGTATGGACTTACCGAAACAAAGCGTCAAAAATGCAAATTCAACTTATAAAAGTGAAAAATAACGCGATGAAAAAAAAACGCGCGAAATCGGAGTTCAAACGTTTCACTAATTTTCCCCAGACTTTTCTGGGGAATACGGGTTTCAACAGCTGGGCTGCGCTCATAGCACGTGCGCAGTGAAATAGGTTCGCGCAACTTGGAAGCGGGCTGTCTGGTGAATACTCGGTGAAGGCTTTGGTGTGAGCTATTTTCATAATGTTTTGTTGATATCTCACAGGCGCGAGCTTTTTATATGTTATGACAGTAAATAAACTGTTTATATAATTTCATTTGTCTATTTCACCACACGTTCTTCTTACCGAGTCACTTTCTCAGTTCGATACTTAAAAGCAATGTCATTATTTAGCGTTGACAGAATTTCTAACTGTGATATAGATATGTCGCTGTCACAGACAAAACTCAATGTCTTGTTTTATTGACACCTGTGTGTCTGCCTGCCTGTCTGCTAATGACAATATTCAGTACACAACTCCGATCACTGACCACATGCAATATGAACTTAACACCAATCAGGCCATACACCATAAACAAAACGCATTGATTTATGGCCCGAGTTCGGTCTCTGTCACATTATGTAATTACACAGACAGGCAGGTGTGATACTTGAACACATGACATGTTATGATGTCTGTTGATTGCAAAATGTTATACACAAAAAATGAGCATGTATTTACAAAACCCAACATCTCTATATATACACACACAATGAGCCGTGAAAGCGGCATCTGCTAATGAACCAGCCGTTACACTTGAGTGCACACCCACCCGCTCTGACTGGGTTCGGTATCCCGGCTGCTTCGTTTCGAGGGAGGTAAACCCAAGTACAAAATATTGCACTTTTGATTTGCGATTATACGCTTATAATTTTGTTCATATGTTTTTTCATAATCAGCAATGCATATAATATGTCATGAAGAAGTGATAATTGTGTTTTAATTATGTTTGATTTTTTGGTTGCATGTGACCTTTAAGCTTTCTTGTAAACTAATACCTTCTGACATACCTTTGTCAAGATTGAGACGCGCACGCAAACGCGCATGCGCACAGAGGCAAAGAGGTTTATTGACTGATACCAATCGCTACTTCTTCTTTAGAACTAATGGGAGAATTAGTTGTTGTCGTCGTTGAGATCAGGATATTGATAGCGTTCAGGTAAAGATAGCATCATGATGCAAGGAGGACCATATGGTGATGTCAATCAGGTTTGGCCGCCTCAACTCCCAGTCTGACAGCCCGACACTACACCGGCCAGCAGCACAACAAAATCACACAACCCAGTAAGAGAGCACGACACCGAACGTCAGCGATGATTAACACCAACCCACGTAATGCTTTGACAATATTTCCTGACAGGTTCCCTAAAGAGAGAGCGAGTTAACTTTTTACGTCGCATCATCATTAAGTCAGTCATATAGAGACTGGACCAAGTCTGCACATATACGCAAGTCCATTATAGTTACAAAGTTTATAGGAGTTTCTTAAAATACATATTTTTTATTACAGTATTATTTGCAAATAGTAAACGTCATAACACCGAATTTTATAAACAACGAGCACCTGTGTGCCTTTCTGGATAACCGGGTCAGAGGAGGTATTTCTGGGGTAGCCTAATGGTTAAAGCGT